AACGTAATTACGTAATTAATTATGGGTGACGAAACTAATACGGATAACGAAATTAATTACGGGTGACAAAATTAATTACGGGAGACGAAACTAATTACAGGCGACGAAACTAATTACGGGCGACAAAATTAATTATGAATAACAACGAATTAATTATTGGAAATATCATAATACAAGTCACTCCTGTTATAACAACACTCTCCGTACAAACAAAAAATGTCAGTATGACGAGAATGTCATTATAACGGGAGCTCATATAGAAGTCATATGAGAATCATTATCATATGATTTTGTAATTTTATTTTTATTATATATTTTTTTCATGTTTTATCAGGAAATTTAAAACTTACGCCGGGTCAAATTGACCAGCATTATACAGAAGTGTTATCAGAATTTTCCATGGTGCCAGTCAATCTTGATTCCGGCGTTTTATTTCCTTATTATTATGTTTTTTCAGAAATGAGGATGATTTTGATTGGTTCTCCCATTATACTGACATGTCGTTATAACAGAATAAATTCTAAAAAGTTGACAAATTATGTCATTATACTAGTATAACGAGATGTCCTTTGATTTCGTCATTCGTAATTGATTTCGTCACGCGTAATTGATTTTCGTCACGCGTAATTGATTTCGTCACGCGTAATTGATTTCTTCACCCGTAATTAATTTCGTAATTACGTATTACGTTTTTGGCAAAATAATTACCATCCCATGTATAATTATATTATTACTGGCCCCTGTATAATATAGTGACCTTTTTATTATTGTTCTGGCCTCTGCCCAATATACAATGAACCCTCCATAAGTGCACCCCCCTTGGGAATGGATGAGAGCATGCATTTATGGAGGGATGCATTTATAGAGAGGAAGAATTTTATTGGTTGCACATGATACTAATAAAAATTATTGTTGTATATACGATTTTAAATATTTTTTTAATTACTATATTGTTACATATTAAATATTATTGTTGATTAAAAAATTGTTTCATTGTGGTTTGCTTCATTGAAAATTTTTTTAAATCAATGTATTGCTCAAGGCAATTAACTTGTCCTAATTGTTCTTTAGAATTTTCTTATTTTATTTTGATTACTTTTATTAAACATAAATTTTTAAAAAAAATTCATGATCTTTGTCCTTGTTTAATCATTACGCATATATATAATTTTCTCCATTTGTGTAATAACTCTTTGTCAATTAAAAAAAAGAATTAACAAACATTCATTTAATCCTTTATAAGAAACAGTAGCTTACTTAATCCTTTATTTTCCATTACTAATATTAAAAAAGAGGTAACAAAGATGATAAATAGATATGGCAATATATGGTTGGCTCGGTCTAAAGACCTCCTATTGCTGCGCCACACGCTCAACATTCAAAAAATTGCGATTTCATGATTCGTTCAAAAATGCAATAAAAACTTTTCAAAAAGGCTTCACGTGATTTTGGTTAAAA